AGCTTTACCAGGGAACGTATATGGATAAAAAGGAGGCGTATTAACAATGAACAAGCCTTTTTTGGTATTCACTTTTATCTCTTTTGATTGACCAAAGAAGGTTTGTTTTGTCAGGTCTGATTGACCAAATTTTTCCAGAAGAAAAAGAAAGAGAAATCAATATAAATATTTATGTTCACATGAATAGTCGTCCAATAGGAATATTTATTCTCATCCATATAGATAAAGCTCATTGAAGACGAGCCTTGGACCAATAGTAAAGTTGTCTCCATGTCACCTATAGTTCATAGGATCACGTCGTGAAATCAATCATTGATGTTTGTGCCTGGGATCAACCCATGGAATCAATCATTCATGCTTGTGTCTGGGTAGACTACCTACATCACACCCACTACAGCCCTTTCCTGGACCCCTGAATGAATGTGAATGCTTCGTGCCCCGGGCTGCCTTTTTATGCATATAGAACTCGGGTCGTTTGGTAGGGTGTATTAGAGAATCTAATAAATGTATTGTTCATGGTATTATTTAATTCTTTGTTTGATAGGATTTTTAGCCTATGCATAACTAATACATAGCAAATCATGGTATTAACTATACATGGGCTATATTAATACATATATAAGCAGGGTAAAGATAAAACTGCCCTTAATACACCAAACCAACAAGGGATAGGAAATAGTTCCAGCATTACTGATACATCCTATTCAGTACTATTCTTATACACCTACCAAATGACCCCTCATTGTAGTTGAATCAACACTGGGAAATGCAGCACTGCTGCAAATGGTTATCCGCTGAGGAAACTCAAGTGTTTGTTCAAGCTAGCTTTACGAGTTTGGATTTTTCTAATAAACACTTATCACCCACCAATATATGTGATAAGAAGCCACTACCAAGATTAACAGCCTACAACGGAAAAGAAATACCCAGCTTTAGGAATGAAAAATGGAAGCTTCAGTTCTGCAAATTTGACTGATAAATGCTAGACCCTAACTTACTAGTCACCTTTAGTATTTGTTGTTAGTCTTTATTAGGGGTTTTCCTACTTAGTATCTTGCTTCCTGTTTCTCTTTCTCCTTTTCTAGTAACAATATGCGATTGCACCCCCAGGGTTCTCATCCAGTGGTAAGAGCTCAATGTATGATATGTGTGTTAGATGCACGTCACACGGTCACGGTTTCTTACCCTTCCACTGACAAAAGTATGGTATTTGAGTGAAGAAGGCTAGAGGGGCTGACTCATTATCTATTGAGTTTCACTGGCTTTCAGGATTTCTGGATGATTTTTTTTAAAGAAAAGAAATGCTGTGTGATTGGAAACTTGTCTACACCAGCTTGTCTGAAGCTTTTCCTTTCTTTCTATTTGTTTTTTACGTTTCTTCTCTTATATTTTATATTTTGTTCATATCTTACCAATTTTGGTATTTTACAGCACATCCCTAATGAATTTGTAACCGAGCATGGCGCTAATCTGGGGGATATTGTGTTGCTTGAGGTCCCAAATGGTGTGGTATGGAAAATAAAATTGCTTAACTCTAGTGGCATGGTATGGTTAAATGAAGGCTGGAACAAATTCAAGGAGTACTATTCAATTGCTTGTGGCTACTTTTTACTCTTCAGATACAAAGGAAATTCCCAGTTCTCTGTGTTTATATTTGATTTAAGTGCTTCTGAGATTGAGTATCCTCCTGGCCCAAATGAAGATATGACACCAGAGAATCGATCTGTTCTGTGCGTGCCACCAGAGGAAAACGGGATAAACTTAACCCCACCCGGTGAGCCACCAAAGGAGAACAGGATAAACTTAACCCCACCCGATGATCCACCAGAGGAAGATGTGATATACTTACCCCCACCTGGTATTTACACCATGGAGGAGTTATCATTGTCATCCATGCCATCACGGCCAAAGGTATAGATATATTTAAGGCTAGTTTTTCTTACTTTCAGAGCTGCACAATGTATTTTACGATTTAAGTTATGTACCCTGGGAATGTAAATATCTTTTTTATACAATCAATGAATTCAGCACCAAGTTAGTGCCAGTTTTACTAGATTACTAAGTATTATGTATTAAAGAGATTAACTTGCAATTATCTTATTTCTTCCTTTGAGTTGAGGGTCTATCGGAACAACTTCTCTACCTTCTTCTTAAGGTAGGGGTAAGTTCTGTATATATTCTACCCTTTCTAAACCCCCGCTCGTGAGATTAGACTGCATTTCTTCTTGTTGTAGTGATTATCTTATACTTGACCTGATTATGTAAATATCTTTTACTTCTGTAAATGCTTGAACTTGAAAGCTCTTATTTTTATACTCTTTATATCACGTTCTTTTGGCAAAAAAAAGAAGTGTATATCTTCCTAGTATTTGCTTGTGTTTTATGTTCTTTTAAATTTAAGTTACTCTTGAGTGACTTATTTGATCATCAAGATTAGTTATGTTGTGATTATTTTTTATTGGTTCTTTGGTTTGTCATATTCAAATAATATGAATGGTATAATTTATAAGAACTATTTGTTTGTTTACAAAAACATCCTTTAAGAATAAGTTGTTTGTTTGTAAAAGAGGGTTTAAGAAGATACTTTTGTTATTTTACATTTTTGTCCAAGAATAAGTTATCTTGGGATTAATATTTCATCCACAAGTAGGGATAACTTATTTCGATCATAATTATTAATTTTGTGTTTAGTTAACCTTTTTAGTTGTGATTTATGCATCTTTCTTGATGCTTTTCAATACAAGTTACTTCATTATTTTATTTTTTAAAAAGATTGAATATGAATGTATTGCTACAAGTTGTCAACTAAAATGATAAGGGATAAATTAGAACCACACATAAAGACAACAATATTAATAATGAGAATGAAAGACATAAAGTGACACCTGAACTTGTCTCGAATTTTCAAAAAGGCACCTTAACTATGCAGACGTTCTATTACCCCACTAAACAATTTTGAATTGATATTATTAGGTAATTTTTTGTCCACCTGACATAGAGAGTGTGTGCACTCTCTCAAAGAGAGTGAGCAACCTAAAATAACTAATATTATTTCATTTTTACAAGTATTTTATCATAAAATAGATTTTTTATTATTATTATTATTTTGACTTTTTTTTTCCTTTTTGTTTTTTCTCTTTCTTCTTCAAAAATTCATTGTCATCTCCGTTGAAGCTTCTCACTTTCAATGTCACCATTTTTACCACAACTTCATCTTCCTTTTTTTTACTACTATTAGTTTTACTCTCTTTAAATTTTAAAACTTTATCTAAATATTTTCTTACATTTTGATAAACATATTAGATTTCAAGATGATTAGGAAGTATCATGTATTTTTTTTTATCCAATTTCAATTAAGTTATTTCAATTTTCGTGGAATTCATTGATTCTTTTAAAGTGAAGTTATATGAAAAGGAGTAATTGATGATATCTTTAAAATTTTAAATTTTCTTAGAAAAATAATTAGTTTTGTTATCAATAATTTAATAAAGTCTAGAAAATAGTATGAATTCGTTTTTATAAAAAAAATCACTGAAATAAAGAATTTGACTGGAGAATAAGAAGAAAAAGAAAAGAAAAAAATGGGAGAGGGTTCAACTTGACATGGAGGGTGGGGTGAGGGTGGGAGGTAAAGAAAATGGAGGGATGAATCACTTGAAAGTGGGGGGTGGAAGATGAAGTATAATTTAAGATGAAGTCAAAATTAAAATAAGTAAAAAAATGTGTGTGTGTGTGATTGAGAGAAAAAAAAACTTAAAATGAAAAAAAAATTACATTTTAAATTAAATTAACACGTGTCATGCAATGATTGGTGTGTGAACACACTTGCTTATTAAAATTTGGGGTTGATCGAAAAATGATATAATAATATATGTTCAAAATTGTTTGATAGGAGTAATAGAACGATTGCAAAGTTAAGGTGTCTTTTTGAAAATTCGGGACAACTTCAGTGGTGACTTTATGTCTTTTCTCAATGTCTTAATACATCTATATATTGGCACATTAGTAGCCTGTATGGATTGACTTATTTTAGGTGTTTTAAAGCCAAAATAGTTTTTAAACAATTTTGTAGTGTTTGAATAAAATAAAGAAGTGCTTATAAGCACTTATTTTAAAGCCAAAATAAGTAAAAAAAAATCACAAGTTGATTTTATTTTTTTCCAAATAAATAAATAATTAAATTGTATAATTGTATTTGACTTCATTATAGTATAGTGAATAAAAAAACAAAGGTGTCTAAACTCACAGCCCACGTGTCTTCATTTGATTGGTCAAGTCCAATTCAAACAGGTGATATTTAGTCGCCCAATTTGAATTACAGAGTTAACGGCTTTCTTCGAGATGATGAAAAATTCTTGATAAGAGACGAGCAATGACGACGACACTCTTGTCTTCATTTCGATCGTTTTACATTGACAACGAACCTCTTCTTCTGTTTCGATTGCGGTGGCGAAGAGACAAGCAATGACGACGAATTCATCAAGGTTGGAGAATAATCAGACCGGAAAATTGAACGCTCAGAAACGACCGACATTTTCTAATATCTTGAATCATACATCTGTCTCTGCTCGTAACTCGATTTCTCATTCCTCCAAACTTGTGAGTCTTTCTCTGTTTTTGGTCTCTGTTTATTGTGTGCAGTGTACTTTGTTGTTTACTGTCGGAGTACTGGGTTTTATGTATTTTTTTTTATTACTGATTTGATGATTCACTTTTTTGTAAGTTGGTTATGGGGTTTCTTGCATAAATTTGTGTATGCAAGGAAAATGTATGTGGGTTTTGTGATTTTTTTTATGGGGCTTTTGTTTCATATCACAAGTGAAGGGATTTAAGGATTTGAGGGATTTCTTTTTTGTTTTTTAGTCAAGATTGTGATATTTGGAAGTTGAATTCTTTGTTTATTGTGATATGAAACAAAGGTTATGATATGAAAAATACAAATCAATTTTATGAAACCTTGTTACGATACAAAACTAGGTATGTTCGTTCATGTACATTCTGATCCATAAACAAACACAACATTAATCTAAGAATCCATAATTTGATTAAAAATGAAAGAAACTATAAGTCTTGAAAGAAGAACGATACATCATCTTCAAGCAGTTGGTCAAGTTTTGGTGGAGGGTAAATCATTGTCCTGTTTAGCAGTCAATAAATCATTTATGTGCGGATACACAACTTTTTCATCAAGCTGATTTTGTGCCCATATTAACATCTACAAAAGGCTTGGAAGCTTTGGATCTGTTTAAATCAAAGATTAATCATAAGAAAATAGCATTTCATACCATGATCTTCTACACATAAATATTCCTAATTGTATGTGTTCTTAAATGATTTCATTGTCTACTCGTCGTGTCGATTCAGCTTTGCCATTTCATGTCTAGTTTCACTGTTGTTATTTTTTATGTCTATTTCGCTATTCCTCATCTCGAGTCCTACTTGGTTGAATGTCGTTGAATCTGCATTCTTTGTTTTCACTGTCTCTAAGCATCAACTTTCATTCAATTTCGTTACTCTTCATGTTGTCTTCTTTCCAAAAATAAGGATAGAATCTCAAAGCTAATTAGTAATGAAGTTGTTTTGCCTATTGTTTGTTGAATATGACAGCTTGTTTTCTCCATCTGTGAATCCCGTAATTGTTTACTGTCCAGCATTGCCCTGTTTGAATCGAGATTATCCCTCCTTTTAGAATGAAGTTTAGTAAAATATTATTTATCTATCCTCTTTTACTGTATTGGTGTAGTTATTACACCATGGAGTCCAATTCCTATTTCATAATTGTTCCTTGGCAGCATTCTTAATAATGGGATGTTGATATCATGGTTTTGTATCATCATGATTGACTAGATGAGTTGAAAGCTAGAGTAAGATAAATATGGTCAAAAGGTTCCAAAGAGATCACACTAGAGCTTTGAGTTCTTCATACTGTGAACTATCACATTTTAAGATTGATAAAAATGCTGAATAAACCACTTGGTTACTGAAAGTCCCTGGAGATAAGCCACCCAACCCCAATCCTAGAATATGAAAAGCCACCCAGCCTCACTCTATCCTGATGTACTTTCCTTCCTTTTCATTTTCTCTGCCCTTGAGTAGGATCTTGGAAGCTAGAAAAACTTCTCTTCTTTGCTCAACAAGCACAAATGTGCAAAGGAAAAGCTGGACGAGAAAAGAATGTCATTTTCTCTGAAGATAGAGGTCGATATATAAAGCCAATGCTTCCAAAGGTTACTGTTCCTTTCCCTTTATTATTACATTAGTCTCATTAGGTTATTGATTTCCCTTGAAGAATTAATCAAATCAATGGTTATGTTAAACAACAAATGATTTATTATTTAGCAAACTAGTGTTTAATTATCTCTTCTAACAAGGATGTACCTAGACAGGGTCCAGTGAAGAGATTGGCAGTTGATGCAACTCTAAGAGCTGCTGGCCATATCAGAAGTTACAAAGAGCAAAACATGTCCAAAAAACTCAGAAGGCTTATGTAGAGCAAATTGACATGAGAGCCAAAAGAATGGCATGCAAAGCAGGAACTCTGGTAAAGTTAAAAAAAATTTCCTTGATTACCTCCTTGAAGTCTTTATCTGTTCTTTTGAAGCTATGTTCTTGTTAAGGTACAGATATGTCAACGTTCCTTATAATTTCTTTTTGATAAAGGACGAATAAAATAAACATTTCTTTATACTCATTATTCCTAAATGCATAGAACTAAGTCTTTCATCTCATATCATGAAAAAGAAGCAAGAGATTGGCATGATGGAACATATGCTAACTTCACTTTATATTGTTCATTGAAACTTGAAGATCTTGATAACTTCCATCATAATATGGTCAGAAGCTTCTATTCAAGTTGGCTTCTTAAATTTGCTTATGCTATCCTAATTAATATCTGAAGATTACTATTTGATATGAAATTTGTGGTAGATGAGAAATTGTACATTGAGAATCATGGTTATGACTTTGATATTGTTCATTCAAACTTGCAGATCTTGAAAACTTGGATCACATTGTGGATAGAAGCTTATATTTTAACTAGACTACTTAAAGCTAGCCTTAGTTACCTTAACTGTTATATAAATCTCAATATTTGATAGCACCCATGTGGTTAATGAGCAACTGATATATCTAGAACCATGTTTATGATATTTGAGATGTCTACTGAAGAATGACGTAACCAAGTAGACAAAGTATTGACTAAATAAAGAGGAATCTAATGGTCGTAGACCACCTTCTTGTGACTATGTTGAAGAATTCTTTCCCCCCTTTGAGTTCTCGAGTGAAAGGGTCCAAGCCATAGGAAAATATCCAGTTTCTCTCGCAACATATCTAGTTTATCCTGAAGCAGCATTTCTCGAAGTAGCATTCCCATAAGTAGAGGATGAAACCCTTGCTTGTTTATCCCGACGAGGGTTTATGAATCACTCAAACGAGCCTTTCTAGCCGCATCTGAATCGGCATCCCTATCCATATGTTTATGCGCAGGGGCATCCAAATCCGAATCTGTAGAATCTATTGGGGAATCCCCATCCGCACCCGAATTGGCTAAATCTAGTATAGTGGGTCTTGTTCCGATGCGGGAAAAAATCTTTTTAAAAAAGAGAGTTATACAAGCAGAGATCAGGTCAACTTTCAATTCTAATATTAACACTGAAAGAGTAAAGGAATGTTTCTTAAGACGAAAAACAGCTAGTGATTGATCTGAAACAGACATCTTGCAAAAGGTTATAGTACTAAAGTAAATCTCATGTTCTTTCCATGTAGTGATTTTTTCATATGTGCACTTGCTGCATACACTTGAAGCGGTTGCTTTTGTTCTATAAACTAAGTAAAAATTCCTTTAGTCATCTACTTATCAACCATTCTCCTTTTTAGATTCTTCGTGACTACAGTCCGTTGATTTAATCCTTTTCTCAATCTCTTCCTTTTTCTTATTGGTTAATTTCTAGCTGAGCCTGATGGTATCCATGAGCTTGTCTCCTTGGCATAGATTATTTGGGGAGGCCATAGGAAATTTCTTATTATGTTAATGATAAACTTTATACAGGTCTGTATCATTCCCTTTCGAGAAGATGCTGCTGAAGTTTTGTTGCCACCTTCTAGGTCAATATTGATGGCAAGAAATCATCTTGAAAAACTTCCCTGTGGTGGGGGTTCACCCCTTGCTCATGGGATTACAACGGTATGTGAATTGGATCAGTTTCAAGTGTTGCAGATGATATCAGACTTTTCTTCAATTTTATTTAGCCTGGTGAATGTGTGATTGTAATTTATTTGGTTTACACAAACATAACACACACATGTTTATTTCCACTATTTAGAAGAATTGGACCCATTTCGATGATCTTGGCTGACTAGACAAACAGTACACTTGAAGTAAAATTTGAAAACTTAAGAAAGTTTGTACTCTAGGTCATTGACCATTAAGTGACTTCGGAAGATTATGATACATAGATGCTAGAACACTGCATCATTTCCTGTTATGCTCGTCTTTGTCACTAATCCTTATCCACCTGAACAAAATCCTCTGTCTTCCCCTACTAACTCTCATTTCTTTTATGCATGAAACCTGGTGACAAACCTAGCCTAACCTAACGATGTTTTATAGCAAAATTTTTGGTTCATCCTTCTGTCGTAACAAGAACACTCGGGACCTCCTCCCTGGAGATAAGCCACCCTGCCCCAATCTCAGGATATGAAAAGCCACCCAGCCTCACTCTATCCTGATGTACTTTCCTTCTTCTTCATTTTCTCAGCCCTTGAGTAGGATCTTAGAAGCCAGAAACCAATGCTAGCTTGCGGCAATTCATGCATATCTCAATTGATGCCAAGTTTTCAAAAAAATTCCATTATCTGCCATTTTGCTTAATTGATGAATTAATATTATTTCTCACTTGTTTTTCTTATTTTATCTTGCCCTGTGTGTCAACCAATGGTCTGATATAGCTTTTCTACAGATTATTTTCTCAAGGGAGTATTTGAAGGATGTCACAATCAGCAGAGATAAACTAAGAAGATAACAATGGCCAAGTATTTAATATTGAAATCATCTTCGGGGGGCCTCGAGGCGCCTGGGGAGGACGGTGGGTGGGTGGGGGGCCTCCGGGCAGGGCGCCTCGAGG